CTCTAATCATATCATACTCTGGACAAATAGTTTTTCCGTCTCGCAGGAAGACATGACAAACAACATGCAGCACCTTGACGATAGAAAACATGACGTCAAAATGACGCAGAAGCAACAAAAGTCGGTACCAACATTGCTTGTGTCGTTGCTTTTTGGACCATCGCCTAAAAAAATCACTCCCTTTTGCGGGGTCTAGGTATATATTAGTACAATCTCGACAATTGCCAATAGTCTCTGACGGCAAGTAACGACCACAGCCGAAGTAGACCTCGAACTCGGAGTTCTGCATTGAAGGCTTCCCAGCGAGAACACTTGCCTCTTCACCGGCAATGCACACCAAATCAATACAGTATCCTTGGGCGCTGTCAAAGCGACAAATCCAAAAGCCTTGACACTACTAGTAGCGATGCCCTTGTTATTAGGAGAGAGGAGCTACTAGTAAGACACCTTGCTACTAGTAGTTTCTTGCTCCAAAAGTCTTGACAGTTGAGCACTATTTGCGAGCAGAATATTGATGGACCCAAAGTCACAAAAAACACCGGACCACAGCGATTAGCTTGGAGGCCATTGCGGGTCACCTCGTTTCCTTTTCGTCCCACCGCAGCCAATGACGTGACCCACACCGTTGGCTTGCCAAGCCTCGATCGCCCTTCGCGTCGGGAAGGTTGTGTCCCAAGTGTGTGCCACAACGCGACTGCACCTCGCCACCGGCGAAGGTCACCAAATTCTCTGACACCATCTCTTGGCTGCGAAAGGAGGGCCACCTGCAAGTTAGTCTGCAAGCTGTTTCGGCGCTCGCTACAGCAGGTGTCAAATTACTGAAACGACAACCTACTGTACACGAAGTCTTCCGGATATCATGGGCATAGGAAAGGAGTATTCAAAGGACCTGTGCCGACGAAGGCTGAAACACGAACGCCGTCGAAGGGAAAACAAAACCAACAAACAAACTTTTTTCAAAACAAACAGTAAAAACCACAAATGTTTAAACAAAACAATGTTCAAACAGAGTTCTGTCCAAAATGACAAAGAGACCCATGGGCCGACTCCTCCAACCATTGCGAGGTGTTTCGGCCCACCGGCGCTTTGAAGAGAGGCACGTCACAAGCCGAGTCAAAGAAGACCAGGGGATTCTTTTCCGTCGCCTAAACAGGCTCTGCCGACAATTCCCAAGGGGACAGAATTCCGAATTCACCAAACATGGAACATATCAAACCGAGGTTTCGAAAACAAGCCAACTACGTACTTAATGGTCATGAAGGGCCATCCAAGATCTATGGATGGTGCGGAGAACAGCTTCGAACCGCGGGGCAGCTTTGGCCGCCGCGACGAAGGCTGCGTTTTGGGACCAAAAGTGTGGCTCTTCAGCAAAGCGGTGGTTCGCGCAGCACACCGCCTCGGCGGTGAAGGGGCCCACCTAGCGCTGTCCAAGGCATCAGGAAGAAAGGACATCTAAACGGTTTAAGTAGCGTCCTTGCTCCTAGTAGCGATGCCAGGAGCCCCTAGTAGCG